GATTGTAATGGATAATAAAAACTTAATCAAGCCTTAATTATCGATTTAAAATGACAGCAGTGACAAGTATGCTGTACCTACCACTAGAACTAATCTGAGACCATTCTAGATAAATTTAAGCGATTATTTTTTTATTAATTATGTCATTGTAATTTTTATAATTCGTCCGGCCAGCCTTGTGCCGAAATATGACCACTCGCAACTTTCACAGTTAAATTCACGTGTCAGAGTTTTAGTTTTAAACCTGTTACTCGGGCTTGCACTTACCGCCGTGCCTAATTTTATGGTTATGAAGTTTTCGAAGTGGAACGGACAAGATGTTACGAAAAGAAATTAAGAAATTAGAATGTATCAACCTCTTATATTCAATTTCTTATAAATAAAACAATGCAATCAAACTATTTGTTAATCGCATGAAATTCCTAAGTCGTGTACCATTACTGAAAATTTTATTTATTTAAACTTTTACACAAAAAAATAGCATTGTGTATAGGCGGACTTAATGCCTAAGGCATTCTCTAGCAGTCAACCTATGGGCGACGCAGAGACAAAAGAAGCAGTGTACCTGCACCTGCAGTGTAAAAAGTTTCAAATCTAATTACCTATAAGTTAAAATAAAAGTTATATACTTATTCATATATAATTAAATTTAAAACATATACATGAAAATATATAAAGTATATAAACATATTAAACCCAATATAAAAAAGATATATTACATTATTTAAGCATTCAAAATAGAATACAAGAAAATTATGTCCTGAAAGTCCTAAACACGTAAAAGACGATAGTTCTTAATTTTTCATTTAACGAATCCATTATGTAACTTTTGAAAACTTTTGATAAAGATAAATAAAACGAGGTAACCGTATTCAACGGTCATAATTGCGACATAAAAATACATGCTATGTATCCTATCCTATGTTATATGTATTTTGAATCCCTTTTTACTGCTCGTACAGCACAGCAACAATCTTACAAATAATAATCAATAATAATTAATCTTCGCGGCAATTAAAGTTTTTATACGTAAAAATCACTTATAGTCAATGTAAACTAATTAACGAATAAAGTTGAATACACACAACTCAATACCGCAAGAGCTCAATAGGATAAGGAAGGTTCCGAAACTATTCTAAGAGTACATTTTTTAATAGTCACATGTGATTGATTTAAACATTTGTGTCGAAATCATAACCTCACGTTTTTTTTTCACGGCGTCGTAGTCAGAATACTAGTTATTTACCATATTAGCTACAACATACAATACTACAACTGGTGTCACCAGCCCATTGCCGAGCCCTACGGCGTATTTCAGAACGCATTTGGGTTATTTATTTCTCGGTGGATTACTTCATTGAGAATTCTGTACGCCAAATAGACTATAAACTTAATTCTTTCCATTGATTTCTAAATTGCTATCCTAAGCTTTGGATTATGAGATAACCTTCGATTCTGTTGAAATAGGGGCGTTACTCCAGGCCCTTCACGGGTGTCAATTGACTGTGGGTATACCGAGGTGCTGAGGTATTTGTATAACAAAGTTACGATGTCCGTCCAAGTACAGTGCAATAGTATCCAACTGCAGAAGAGCGTAAGACAGGGTGATATCATATCCCCGAAACTCTTTACCTTTGCATTGAAAGGTGTTTTCAAGATTCTGGGCTGGAAAGGACCTGGTATTAACACCAATGTCGAATACATCATTCACACCAATGTCGACAAGGCGAAGATCATCATTCACCTTCGATTTGCCGAAGTTTCTTGATAGCGTGATCGTCATGGCAGAATCGACGCTGGAGGGAATCCAACCAATGGATGGGCAGCTTTCCTTGCTACTATGCTCAATGACCTCATCAGTGTCTCCCAATTGGTGGGCCTTAAGACTAGCTATGATTGGTATTTCACTGCGTCATAGAGTTCGCAACGAAACCATCCGCAATAGAACACAGATAACCGACATAGCTCAGATGATTAGTAAGCTAAAGTGACGATGAGCCGGCCATATAGCGCGTAGAACCGTTAACCGTCGGGGGAGAAAGGTTCTCGAGTGGCAGCCTTGTACTTGTCATCGCAGCGTAGGACGACTCCCCACCCCACCCCCTCCTAAGTAAAGTGACGATCTGTGTAAATGTACTGGAAGTCGATGAATGCATTTGCTCAGGATCGTGCTTCGAGGTAGTCTATGGGGGAGGTCAATATTCGACAGTGGACCCAAACTGAATGAAATGATGGCAATGATAATGGAACTTTAGAAGTCAATGCGTAGTCTTGTAAACTCACTTTAGATGTGTTTGTATAAAAAGAAAAGAAAAAATATTACCTCAATCAAACAGAAATCCATCTAATAATTAAGAAAAAAACTAAAAATACAGGGTGCTTGCTTAAAATTGTTATAATATCTTAATGACAATATATATACAGTATAGTGATAAAAATAGAGTCGTATTGAGAATACACAAAAAAGCACTCCACGCTTTTCTGCTAGAAAATATATCTACAAAAGAGTGTTTTTTTTACTTCTTTTTTAAATTATTATTTATTAGTTTACTACTATTTTTTAGTTCTGCTAAGTATTAAAGCGTGTTTTTTTTTTTTTTAAACATTTTTAAATACGTACTTGGCAGAAGGACACTACAGGGTAACGGTTATCTAATGGGAAGGTTAGATAATGGCAAAAACTATTTAAATTATTGCATAGTCATGGGTCTTTGACGAGTGTTCAAAGTTTGATTCAAAACTGATCGTTCAAAGTCGGGCAAAATGACATTTAAAATTCCTTTACATTCATACATACATACAGGTGAAACTAATATAAGCGTCTTAATTAAGTCAAATTTTTCTACTATTCAATGTTAAATAACAGTTTACTTATATTAATGGTTACAGTTTAATAGGTGAACCGCGATAATGTGGAAACGAACTAATCCCATAACTAGTAGCCTTTTACTAGGCGATTAGCGCAGCCTGTATTCCGCATTCCTGCAGCAAGTGCCTGCCTAAACGCCCACACTTGTCAGTGCAGTTGTTAAGACAAATATAAAGCCCTCTGCGATATCCAGATCTAAGAATATCACTCCATGGTCAATACTGTCATGCTAAATTTAAAAGCAATTGCCTCTGACAACAGCCAGGCATTATTATTACATCTTAAAATTGCTTCATGACATCCTGTTAACTGTATATTCATCAATATACTTCTTTATATATTTACATATTCTAGATCCTCATAATTAGCGTAAAAAAATTAAATTACTTTGAGATGCAAAATAATTTCATTTAAATTGTCTTTTCTTGTTTTAGCAGCAGAAGAACAATACGCGTCCACACTTTTTAATATTTTTATTAAGGATCACGAATCGTGATGAAACAGCAATATTAAAACTTTTAACGCCGACAACTTATTCTGAATAGTAACAATACAACACTAAAGAAACAGGTGTCTACATACGTAAGTGCGACTTAGAAAGTACGTGTTCACAATTGGCTTTAGCAACTTCAATATCTATACATTTCGTTACGACCACATTGAGTAACGTACCTATTCTGTGTTTTGAACATCGTGGATGTATAAACGGTTTTAACATAATAGGCAACGATCACCTGTTAGTTTCCTGATACAACTTACAACATTCGTGTTGAAATGCCTCTTTCATTTATAGTCGGTTTAGATTTAATTGTCCTATTAGATCAACGCGTAGACCTAAACTTATTAATGATGGAATAATGAACTGCAATTATTATAATTTAGATATAAAACATACATCGATCAATGATTAACAAATCGGGAGAATTAAAATATGTAGAAAATTAAAATATGTAGAATCGGGAGAATTTATAAAAGAATTACGCTGATTATGTTTGGGAAATCTATAGCGTTCAAGGATGTGCATAATAAAGGAGAACTGTTAGCAGGATATTCACTTAATATCACTTATGCTGTAATTGCACTCTGTCAGGATACTGATAATAGCATGTGTCAGTGCTTAATTCGCAACTCGCACGGTCCATTACGGACAGAAGCCATTTTTAATATGGAGTAGCTATATATATACATATTCTATACCGCTTATATACCCATAGAAATAGTCATACGATCACAATTTTGAAACTTAGACCCTAACGTACTTTGAAATGAACAGTAGGTAATAAATGTTCAAAAATTAAAGTCACTAATGACACGGCTTTTAAAAGACAGAGCTTGGCATCGATTCCGAATGAATACAGTTTATTTTCGGGCAGGGTTAACAGATAAACACATTGAATTATAAGAATTAACTGAATTCTAGGTTTAATCAGTTTATTAAATTTTAATAGGAAACAATACATAATTCGTGTGTAATTACGTATGTCAATACCAATTACCATAAAAAGTAATTGGTAGCACTGAGCTTAATTCATTAAATTATTTTAAATAGGTCATTTCATTCAACGCTGCAATCAGTTTACAAACGTTTCGGTATGGGAACCAAATATTCTGTTTGAATTTTAATTTTCCGTTAGACGTATTTTTATCCAAATATTTTTGGCGTGGAAATATTTTACTTACGTAGAAAAATAAATTTATAGCCATAAAGACTAGAGAGATAAGGAGAGATTTGATAAGGGTATGCTGAAAATAAATATGTTTAAGGACGCATTTTATAACGACCTTAAGATACAGTTTTAAGATGTAAAACAAAGTGTCATCATTTAAATTGATATAGATAAGTAATTTGAACATTTTTATGTATGTTAAGACTCTCTGATCAAATTTCCTTTTCTTCTTATTTGTCATACTTGTGTTGATGAATATTATACAAACTGTATATACATACAAACTGTCAATTTACATCTGACACCGTATGTGACCATTCGCTGAATTAGATCTCATCGTCGCGCGTCCCAATTAAGGTCACTTAGGTATCAATATCGTTTTCATCAAAATAAAAACAAACGAGAGATGTTTTCAACGTGCCTCAATCGAAACGGCTTTAGGGATGCACCGTATAACGTAAGACATGTCCTATTTTGCTATAGTCACTAGGTATGAAAAGCAAAATTATGTTTAGGTTTAGGTAAATATGATTATAAAAGCATAGTGATTGTAAAATCGCGCAATCAAAAGCTATGCGATATACCTATATAAGTTTAGATTTATCTGTATGACACGATTAATGAAACCATTACGGCTGCATTCAGCAGGATACTTGTCCAGAATAACTCCGCCCGAAACCGAATGTACATTTGGTCAATGCCATTGTGAACTAATCAGTATATCTTGATACAATTAAATTAGATAAATATTAAGACGCGATGTGGCTACTAAAAATTTACATATTATACATTAATTATAATAAAAAGTATTAATTATAATAAACATAAAACTGTTTAAATTGCTGCCATCTGTTAACACTAAAATTTGGGCTAATAGAACACGTAAGGTTTTATACCGCGGCAAGGTTCGGACAGAACTGTTATCACAAGTTGCATCGTTGCGTGTCCAAGTATGCCATTGTTTCGAACATTGGACATTCCGAACACAAACTTCGGTGCGCATCGGCTGCTGTACAACCATTGTATTAACCCGGAAAAGCAATACTAAACCAGTTCCAGGTACGATATCGTATGCGTAATCAATTTTGACGACCAAACCGCAACACGGTTAGACACTGCTTTTAATCCGGGAGGATCAAGTAATACGTACGGCATCTGTTTCAGTTGGTATCTCTGGCGCATCGTGGCGATTCAGAGCTGGCTGCAGTTCATTAAGAGCACTGGTCCCGTCGGAGAGATCACAGCAACAAGGGCTCACTGGACATCCGCATCGGCCTTCGGAGCCATCAAGGGTGGCTTGCGCGCACCGCGGCCGAATCGTAACTGGCGGGTGATTACGCGGAAAATGTTCTGTCCGCGGCGTCAAATCGTCGGAGGATTGCGACAGGCGAGGATGTAATTAAGCATTGCGGCTGGACGTGTATCAGACGGTCCGTTGGGCGCGCGACTGGGGATTTGCCCGGCCCACGCCAGCGGCCCGAGCGTGCGGCGTGCAATCAATTTATGCAAATCGCCGACGAGATGGGGCTGGACACGGCCAAAGCAATAAACTATCGTCGGTGAGGGTCCCGCTCTGCCCATCGAAGACCAGCCGAAGAATGGTACTCGAGGGAACTTGAATGGCAATTACCGAGCGATGATATCTTCTAGCCAGATGAAAAATAAACGTGACCGTGTCGATAAAAACATTATTAATTTTCGTGCTGTGCCAATTGATCGTTTTGTTGTACTTAATATCACACAGTGTTGTGTAATAGTTCGATTTAATCTCGCGTGAAAATTAAAAAATACTGTACGTTACGAACTCGTACCGGTATTAAATCATAAAAAAAACTGTGTCGCTTATTCGAGCGTGACGCAAAAGAAATTTTATATATATATATATTTTTGTGTAACAACTAGAGCACTGTTACAATATCTACGTCACTCGCAATTGGGCACTCGATTCAGTTCTGCACCGCTGGCTCCAATTCTTTTTTATTGCTCGCCCACTTCTATTTCCTAAAGCTATTGTTGTCGACTCTGTGAATAAGTTTCAAATCCATTGCCGGTCATCAATATCATCAAAACAAAAAGTTCTTTATTACTTCCTAAGTGATTTTGCATTTACAAGCACTATAATACATTTATTTTATTATATTTATTTTGTTTTATTTGGAAACTTCACAACATACATTACAAAATATGATATAAGAACGATATTATGCGAGCACTTGAGTTTAATTCTCGGAGAGATATAGAGACAGCTAACGTTGTATATTTTTCAACATGGTCTTTTGGCGTTTCTTGACACCATCATATCTTGTGGACAGAAGTTATTAATCTAACAACGAAACTGTGTAAAAGCTAGTTCGCACGAGTTACATATTGAGCATAAAAAAGTAAGGTAAGTATTATAAAATAGCTCGTATTACTTAAATTACTTGTAAATCAATAATTTTGGCGTTTAGACAGGTGGGTTTCTATTCGAACTTTTTAATTACCACGACCACACAGAAGGCCGGCGTGAAGTAGAAGTATTACACTTTGCGTTTCCTCTGGTGAGTGAGGTAGCCGGGGCCTACTTTATTTAAAGGTGCCAACGCTGTTATCACTTAACATCAGGTGAACCGCCAGATCGTTTGCCATTTTCTCACATTAAAAAAACATCGTTACAAATTATGATAATGTGATGTGTCAGTTCCTTATGAGTAACGATGAAAATGATTACTTAACAATGGCCATAAGCAACTTGAAAACGATGATGAAACCGAAATGTCCATAGGTGAATAAATCTTTATTTGTTCGGCACGTGTATTTAGTTAATTAGACTTGGACTTATGAAGAATTTGTAAAATCGGCTTTAGTTCCAATATCACGAATTTCTCGTAATCCTATTATATGGACTAATAAGTACAGAGTCACGCCAACTGAGCCATTGCTCGGCGGTCTACTTTCGTATATTCGATATAGTGTCTCGCTTGTAAAAGTACGCCTATAGATATAAAAGGCCCACTTATTAAAGTTTGTCAACGCACCTCTAACCCCTCGGGTATTGTCGATGTGCATGGGCGGCCACATTCACTTAAAATCAGGTGAAGAGTCTGCTCGCTTGACAACTTTTGACATAAAAAAAAATATTTGATTTTCTATTCCGCACGCAAGAGAAAGGTATGGATCGAAATGACGGTTATAAATCAAATTACGCGGTGAGTCCCATATGTTCGCTTTAAATCGTCAGCTCGATCAAAAGAAGAGTGACAGACGCTGCATCAGGAAGGATGTGGATAATTCGAGATCAATTGACTCGAATTCAGCAGACGGATAGACTCAAAAATTTTTTGCAGATGCTAAAGCAAAGCTTGAAGCGTAACAACGTATCGTACTTCTCACTGTTATATAAATCTGTTTAAAGTTGCCTTTAAATCTACATTTACATTTTGCGCGATTATGAAATTGTGGAATGGCCTGCCCATTCTCTTCCGGGGAAACACCACGCTACACTCAAAAACAAAACCATCTTGATGATTTTCAATTTTTTAAAGAGAAAGGCATCGTTAATCGGCGTGGAATGTTTATGTTTTATCACAACTAGGGATCAAAACATTAAACAAATGGTCAAACAAGGTGCGGAACTTCATTAACACCAAATTACACAAGATAGCGAAAATGACCGCTGACAAAAGCAGATAGTGGCGATTAATCCATTCAAGAGTGCAACATAGGCCCAAGCTGTCCAAAAATTAATAATTATACAACTAGAGAAAGAGAGAGAATCTAGATATGATACTACAGATTTGCTAATTTATCTTTAATAAAAATTTTTGACCAAAAACGTATCAAAACGAGGAGAGTAGGTATAAGAGAGGAGGTTGTAAAGAATTTTACTAAAAAGCTCTTTACTCCATACCATAGTTTTACTCCACTAAAATTAATATTCTCAGAGCGTCAGCGATCGGATCTAACTGCATCTGCTTACAACGATGGAAACTTTTTCAATGGCTGTCAATTGAGCTGAGGTCAAAGTTGTTGTAGAGTTAAAAACGCAACGAATTTGCAAATGCATTGCATTGATTCCGAAGCGAATAATGTACTGCAGTTGCTAATAAAAAGTTGAAATCGTCGAGGATCATTCCAGACGTTATAGTGGAATCGACCCATTTAAATCCGCTTTTTATGTGGATAAAGCAGCGGGAAAAGGCAGGGAAATATAAAACGCAGCATTACTATGGTCGCTGTGCTGAATACTGTAAGCAATGGAAACCAAGGAACCCATTAATGGTTACCCGATATTCGATATTAATTTTACACGAAGTGATTCTGGATTTGCATTCTGATTATTCATTTAAAGCGGTCGTTGCCACAGAATCAAGTATCACAAGAATAATATTTTTGAAGTTAGTACTCATCCACACACACACACACACGTTAGTACTCAGAAGTTAGTACTCATAAGTACTCAAGTTTCATAAGAATAATATTTTTGAAGTTAGTAAGAATAATGTTTTTGAAGTTAGACAGCGACATGATGAAGTTAGTTGCAAAGCCAAAAACTTCTACGAACTTTACTTATAATTCCAAGTTTTTTAATTAAGCCGTTATCAATTGCATTGTATTCTCAATTGCATATGTCTTATTCACAAACAAAGAACAATAATAACAACAATAACAATACTGTACAACACAGGGAATGATTTTTTTTTACTTTCTTACGCTAAAGAAGCATTACTTCTTACGTGCGTACATAAATACACTAACGTTTTCTTTTACAATTACGAGAACTTAGTGAAAAACAGTGGGTGGTTTAAAAAGTAGGCCGTTGTGTTTTTTTTTTATCAAAAAAAGTGCCTGTGCTCGACTACTTTTTCATTTGATGGTAAGACGTAATTAGTGCCCGTCCGAAACAGGTTTTTCAGCCAAAACCAAAGCCGAATAATCTAACCTAAGCATATTGTTCAAAGTTTTCACATATTTATTTTGCTTTTACATACAGATAGTATGAAAAGGAATTAAAATATGTATCAAATACAACCATTAATTTTTTTATATTTTGAATATAATAAACATTTTAAAGTAAAGAATCACTTAGAATTAAACTTCTCAAAATGCAACATTCAATTAAGACTTAGACATAAACTACAAATACAATTGAATTTTTTAATTAGTGTGTTGATAAAATGCTTAAGATTGATTTAAAATTCATTTTAAGAGATCTTTTAATTAACACTTTGGTTTTACCTAGGTATCATAATAATAAAATAATATACCTAGGTATCATAGTGTTTAATAGCCATTTGTCAGGCGTGAACAAAGCACGCGCTTTTAACGGCTGGGTCATGCCAGTCCTCATGTATACCTTTGGCATACTCAGGTGGACTCAAACTGAGCTCAACGCCCTGGACCGAAAAGTCCGCACAACTATGACGTCCCACAGAATGCATCATCCGAGATCGTCAGTGATGAGGCTGTACCTGCCGCGGAAGCATGGCGGGAGGGGCTTTTTAAGCGCCCTCACCATGCACAATCGCGAGGTGTGCAGCCTCCGTAACTACTTTCTGGCGAGATCGGATGAATCAATCTACACGGACGTCATTAGTTGTGATAAAGGACTTACCCCTCTATCCTTAGCCAACGAGCAATGGCAGGACCCGGGAGTACTGAGCGTTTCCGACCGAGAGACCGTATGGAAAGAGAAAGAGCTCCACGGGAGGTTCTACAATATATACTCGAGCCTTTCGTAGATACCGTTGCCTCCGTTAACTGGCTACGTTTCGGTGACCTCTTTGGGGAAACCGAAGGTTTTGTCTGTGCGATACAGGATCAGGTTATTAAGACGAACAACTATCGGAGATACATCCTAAGGGATGGCACCGTCGACATCTGTCGAGCTTGTCGCCATCCCGGGGAGTCGCTCCGGCATGTTATCTCCGGTTGTTCCATGCTTTCTAACTCTGAGTATCTGCATAGACACAACCTAGTAGCCAGAATTCTACACCAGGAGCTCGCTCTGAAATACGGACTCGTGGAACGGAAACTGCCGTACTATAAGTACACTGCGGAGGCCGAGGCTCGAAAATGACCGCGCCAGGCTCTATTATGACCGGCCCATCATCACGGACAAGACGATTGTCGCGAACAAACTCGACATCGTGGTGATGGACCGGGCACAGTCGCGGGTATTTTTGGTCGACATTACCATTCCATATGACGAGAACCTCGTGAAAGCCGAAACAGATAAGAAAACGAAGTATCTGGACCTGGCTCACGAGGTGACCGACATGTGGGGTGGTGTGCCGACCGAAATTATCCCAGTAGTCGTGTCTGCGAATGGGTTAATCCCAGTCAGCCTCTCCGAACATTGAAACATCCACCCCGGCTCCATCAGTGGGAGATCGGTGTAGGGGTTCGCTCCGGCTGACTCAATCGGACCGATCAAGACCACAGGGTGAGGCTCGGTGACCCAGTCACGGGGACGAACAGAATTTATTTTAAATAGGCGCCAGCCCGCCCCGTGCAAGACAGAATAATGCTTATTCTAAGGGATTTGCTTAGTGGAAATAAAAGATATATTCATTACAGTTTTACAATTTATTGATACAAGATTTGAAATATAAAGCTAAACTATATGAGGTTAAAA